AAAAAATCCTTCATAAAACCACAAAAATAATCCACGTAAGCGGCATTCTCAAATTCATTAAAAGCACCGGCGAGATTAACATTTTCACGAATAAATTGGTTTGAGGTAGGTTTATAAACATGACTAAAACTTTCAGTTGCATTATTAAAAAATACCAAAACATTAAAAAAAAAATTGCAAGTGTCGATGTGAGCTGAGTTTAAAATATAGTTATCATATTGTTTTAAAAAAGCAGGAAAATGTTCTTTATATCTAAGGAGAACATTAATTAATTTATAAGTACTATTCTAGCGAATAGACAAATCTTTAGGAAAAGCAACATATATCTCACACCTCTTTCAGTCAAATAATTTTTCCATTTTAATTTAAGTTGACCATTAGTCCAAATACGTCTAATCCCCCCCTCGACTACCTCCAAAGCATCTCCTAACGCTTTTAGACCGTCTTGCACACATAAATTTATAACATGGCATGCACATCGTTGATGAAAAAATCTACCCATCAAATTATTAGAACCACACAATTCACTCAATCTAGGTATAGTAGCAGTTTCATTAGTAGCATTATCAAAACCTATAGCAAACACCTTATCAAATTATACTCAATTAAAATACGCTCAATCAAAATATAAATATGTTCAGCAGTGTGACGATCATTAAATTCACGAAAAGCAAGAACACGTTTATGCATATTCCAATCATCATCAATATAATGTGCAATCAGACCCAAATAATGTAAATTATGATAAGTATCCTCCCATATGTCAGAACAAATAGTAACACGCCCTTCAAAGTTTGCAAAATAATTTTGTAACCTTGCCTTTTCCGCACGATAAAGCCTTATAATTTCTTTCTTAACCGTTTTGCGACTATAACCTCTATATTGAGGATTTAAACAAGTTTGTGCATAATCTTTAAAAGCAAGACTTTCAGAAAACAAATAAGGCAAATTTTCTTCAACAAGTAAGTTAGACATACCAGTCAAATTTTGTGCATCATTGTATGAAAAAATACCAAAAGGTTGGTTATTTGCAAACCTCGATATTTGAGTTTGCTTCCCCTTATCTTTCGATATTTTCGCATACTCCACCAAGTGCGCGGACTTAAGATGCCTTGTGAGGCTCCCGTGTGTGCCGGAAGTTCCCAAGTTATACTCCTTATTGCAATGATTGCAACTTGCGTACCATTTCTCGGTTTTTTTGTCTTTCCTCTTTGTAAAATTATTTTCTATAATAGAAGATTTAGATTTCTTACCAATTTGGGATGAACCACCCTCGTCCTCCAACTCTTGCTCATCATCCGGGGTGCCGTGACTGTCGTCGCCTCCCTCGTCCTCCTCCACATCCTCATCCTCGAGCTCGTCTTCGTCAATGGACTCCGGGATGTTTTGTTGATGGAAAAAGTGGCCATCATTTTGCGCCAATAGTTGGTGTAGTTGCTCGTCGGACATCGCATCCTCATCTCGCCGTTGGTAATCCGTTTCAAAATCATCTCCACTTTGAGAAGAAGACCCGGTCCGGCCTTTACCTTTGCCTTTGCGTAAACTAGGATGAGTTGTCACAATCTCCTTCTTTCGGTTGCGTTATAGATTACCCATATCTACAGAATGTCTACCACGGTCCATCTTTAAAATGTAACAAATATAAAATTATATCAAATATTTTAATATGAGTACAATAGTAATAATAAAATGCGACTAATAAAATTATAGCAAATTTCCACGTACTTTCATAAAATAACAAGTGTGTTTAATTTATTAAAATAGGAGTAATGAAATTCGAATACTTTGAGTGTGTTTATTAAAATAACAGGTGTGTTTATTAAAATAACAAGTACTTTATTAAAATGTAACAATTAACTAGTTTTTTTTAATAATTGAAAAAGGTAGCAATGAGCCAATGGAGTAGTTTAAATCTTGAACAAGTTTAAAGTATTAAATGAAAGAAGTATTAAATTTTAATTAACTAATAGGATAATGAGTAATGTAACAATTAACTAGTTTTATACTTTGAATATTAAAAAAGGTAGCAATTAAATAGTTTAAAAAGAAGAACAATTAAAGTATTAAACGCAACAAGTATTAAATATTAATTAACTAATAGGATAATGAGAAATGTAAGAATTAACTAGTTTTATACTTTGAGTATTGAGAAAGGTAGCAATTAAGTAGTTTAAAAAGAAGCACAAAGTATTAAACGCAACAAGTATTATATATTAATTACCTAATAGGATAATGAAATATGTAACAATTAACTAGTTTAAATCTTCAAAAATTAAACGAGACAAGTATTAATTAACTAATAGGATAATGAGAAATGTAACAATTAACTAGTTTTATACTTTAATGAGAAATGTTACAATTGACAAATTAACTAATAGGGAAATGAAAAATGTTACAATTGACAAATTAACTAATAGGGAAATGAAAAATGTAACAATTAACTAGTTTTATACTTTAATGATAAATGTAACAATTAATTAAAAAAAATGTAAGTAATAGAAAAAATGAATGAATGTGTATAATAATTAATGAGAGTGTGAGTTTATAAGTAAGTAGGATGAATTTAATTACTATGGATTCAAGTGTAAGTATAACTAATATATAATATAATGTTTATAGTATATAGTATATAAGTATATTATTATAAGATGAGTAATACACTTATATTTAATACTTTAATATATATAAGTAAATAACAATAAGTATAGATAATAAGTAGATATCAAAGTAAATATTAAGAAGATATATAATAAGTATGTATATATATAAGTATATATTAGTAATATAATATATGTATATATAAGTAGATAATTAATATATAAGTAGATATAACAATATTATATAAATAACATGTGTGTGTGTGTGTGCGCGCGCGTGTGTGCGTGTGTGTGCGTGTGTGTGCGTGTGCGTGCGTGCGTGCGTGCGCGTGTGCGCGCGCGCACGCGTGCGCGTGCGCGTGTGCGCGCGCACGCGCGTGCGCGTGCGCGTGTGCGTGCGCGTGCGCGTGTGCGTGTGCGTGTGTGTGTGCGTGTGTGTGTGTGTGTGTAGAGAGAGAATTGGAGAAGATTGAGTATTTGAGTTATTGAGTATGAGAGAATAGAGAATTAGAGAGTAGGATTGTATGAAGATGGTGTAAAAAATGTATAGAAAATAGGAGTCTAAATAGGATTTTTTGGTATCCCCACCCCCACCACCCCCCACCCCGGACCCCACCCCCCAGGCCTCCAACGGCTATAGAGCCGTTTGGGAATAGTCCCAACGGCTAGGAGGGCAGCAATTATTCAAAAAAAAAGTAGCCGTTATGGCCCGGACCGGGCCCGGTCGGTTCATCATTTATAGGGCCCGAGCCCGGACCGCTATACGACCAGGTCGGGTGGCCCGAACCGATACCCAGACCGGGTACAAACAGTACCGGTCCGGGCCGGTTCCGGGTCAGTTGGCCCGGCTCCAGTCCACCACTAAATACAATTAATCGTCCGATCAGTTACCGTTACTCGATCCGACCGGTTACAGTTACTTAATCATTTACATTCATCAAATCCGAACAATTACAATCGGATCCAACAGCGCGCCCAGGTAGCCCCCTCCCCAACCGTCCAGGCAGCCCCCCTCCCCAACCGCCCAGGCAACCCCCTCCCCATCCGCCCAGGCAGCCCCCTCCCCAGCCCCAGCAAACCCCAGAAACCCCCGACCATGCACAAAAAACCCTAGCTGCCCCAGCAAAATCGTAGCTGAACTGCCGTCACCACGCTCGATTTTGAAACCGTAGCTGTTGGAGACGATATTGTCGCGGCCGGCGCCATGGATCCTCGATCGCTCAGCCAGAAGAGAACGACAGCAAAAGGGAAGCTTACCTAGGACGGCGGCGGCGGCGTAATGGGACGGAGACAATGGTTTAGGGCATGGAGGAGTCGCATGTATGAATTGAGCTTATGGCATGGGTCACAGGGATCGATCAGGGGGCAATTTGGGTCTCCTTTTTCAATTAGGGATATTTTAGTCAATTGGGTAATGTTTCTTAATTCTTATTATTATCCAAATTAAAGACTGGTCGTATTGTTGTCCATGTAGAAGTGTAGGTCACTTTATTTTAGGTCCTTGCAAAATATTTTCTTTTGTTTTTCATCCTTGAAATTTATGTTCATTTTCGTTTTAGTCCATGACTAATGATAATTAGGGCTGGACTCAGGCCGGTTCAGGCCCGGGCCCAGCCTAGACCGGGCCGGCGGTTCTGGAATGGGGGGTCCCGGAACCGGCCAGGGTAATCCCTAGTTCCGGTTCGGGCCGGGCCTCGGGCCTTTGTTAATTTTTTTTCCTTTCCCTAGTTAACCCCCCCCCCCCCAACCACCCCAAATGGCCCCAAATACCCAGCCCAACCCGAAAAGTAAAAAAAATTGAAAAAAAAAAGGGAAAACTATCAAATAAGCCCCCGTACTATACCGAAAAAGTCAATTAGGCCCTCGTACTTTACAAACACTCAATTAAGTCCTTGAACTATTAAAAAACGTTCAATTAAGCCCTTTCGATCGGTAAGTAACCGGTTTCCCGGTTAAATGTAATCCGTTTCCCGGCAGACGCCGTTGCTGGGGTTCGAGCACATCGTCGCCGTCGTCTCCGTTCAACCGGGAAACCGGTTACTTACCGACCAAAAGGGCTTAATTGAACGTTTTTTAATAGTTTGAGGCCGGGCCTAGGCCCGAGGCTCGAACCGGCCCGGTTTAGTCCACCACTAGTTCAGGCCAGTTCCGGGTCGGGCCACCCGGCCCGAGTCAGTGCCTAATGATAATAACCTCTATTTGAGACCGAAACAATCCCGACTAATAGGTATCCTTAAATTCTTTGTCATACCATTCAAAGAGTATTTAATTTCATTTTTAAAGGATTTTTTATTAATATTTTTTTAAAATGTGAATATTGTTTTAATATTGTTTTAGCTCTCTTATTAACCTCAAAAAAATTATAAACTGATAAATTTAAATGCTTCTAGTTGATTTATGCAACTGACACTAAATACTCTAAGTAGAGTTGTTTCGGAGTTGGAGATGGACTACACTCAAAATATTGCATATTACAGGGATGGAAACAAAGAAAATATTTTGCAGGGACCTAAAACAAAGTGGCCTATATTTGCAGGGACTAAAACCATATTTAAACCTTTAAAAAATGAGGCTAAATCCAATTCCAACAACTCCGCTCTGGTAGTTCATTTACAACGAGTAATTCTACAAAGGCATTAAAACTGCAAATCGCAAGGAAACATTCCTGTATGGCAACATTTAAGAGGTAGAAGTTATCATTGAATTGCATTATCATTCAATGATAACGTAATTTTTACGCCTCCATAGAATTACTCTTACAACACATCAAAGTGGCACTGGCAGTACACATGGGACTATACAAAACAAGTTAACACAACCAGCAAGGCTGAGCTCACTGCTGCTGTAGTAGTAGTTTATACTTGTAGAAGCCAAGAAGAATTACTGTTGTAGCAGAAGAAGAACCAAGCGTGCAGCAGAAGTGTAGTCTAGTTATGTGACTCCTTTCAGCACTCTAGAAGAGCTCCATCAATTGTTGTGCAACATCTGCAGAATAATTAACCAGGCTATGTCAAATCAAACAGGCTTATGCTTTATTTTAAATCTTTTACTAGCTGATTCAGCAGACATAATCAAATAATTTAGTATTAAGGTAGATGACATAATCAAATAATTTAGTATTAGGGTAGATAGGAAAAATACTAAAAAAAATACTGGTACGTAGTGGAGTATTAACTAATGAGATGCCCCATAAAAACAAAGACACAAACATTTTAATAATGGTCATTAACAAATGAGGTGCCCCAATTCATTACCCCTACTACTTTTTTCTTATATATTGATTATTGTGACAAACCCTGTTGCAGCAAACAATTTAATATGGAGGCAGTATGAAGTATATGCAAAACAATTTTGCAAATAAAAAGTAATACTGAATAAAGGTGGGTCACTCGCGTGAGGCCTCATAATCAGATGGGACAAAACTGCAGTACTTTAAATGTAGAGAGTCAGTAGTAATAGTAATACTCTTTAAAAGCCAGTTTTTTTTAATTAGTTTCGACATTTAGAAGGGGTATAATTACGTTGTTATAGAGGTGTTGATTACCTCGAAGTACAGGAGGCGGGGTTTGGAACTCGTGCCAGATGGTGTGATTAGAAGCCATATTCATGTTCAAAAACTTAGCGGCAAGGTATGCAGCACCAGCAGCAATCTGTTTCGGTTTGAACTGAAGCCAAAGGGAACTTCTAAGCCTACACAAAATGCAAAGGTACCAGGTTTAGGGCATGCAGAAGTGTATTCAATGAATTCACTAGACCACCCACCACTTGGATAATCAACATTAGATGGGCTCCTATATTTGATTCATCACATTAAAAAATCTGAGAATTAGTACACATAGAGGATTATCAAACACAACAAATTTTAACATGTCAAGGGTATGGAAGCAAAACAAAACCAATTTCCCTTACCAACTAATTACAGAGCAGCAATGGGGGATGGATAAATCCATGAACCTTCTGCAGAATGTTGATATAGAGTGCACCAAGAGTAATAGCACAAACATGTTTATAAGCATCTACATAGAGAGCATAACCTCCCCAGTTCCCAGCTCTGCTGCTGCAGGTATGTGTATAACGACCCCCCAGAAATATATACTTTTCAGATGTAAGGGCTAATAAGATGCCACTCACTGACAATACCAGCTTCTAGTCATGAAAAGGGAATCCCTCAATTTGAAAACATCAAGAGCTACTAGTACTCTAGAAGTAAAAGTGAAGTCCACCAGGCAACTAATAATGCAAAACCATATATGGTATCATAATTTAACTTAACCAACTGATGTTCATTAGTACAAAAGTAAAGCATGATTCATATACCTGATAAACTTCTTATCATTTACTTTTTTTTAATACATAAACTATGTATAAAAAATATCCTTATATACCAAGTCCAAGGGCGCCATCTTTCTTTCCTTCTTAAAGATAGAGGAAAACATCTGTTAATGGCATGATATTCAACCATCTAACAACCCTGCTTCAGGTCATAAAAGACTTGGCCTCAACATCATATGGTGAAGCACAAACCTACAACATTGGAAGAATGGAAGCACATATGGTCTGACGCCTATTCCCCGAATGGAAGCACAGAGAGTCTGAGGCACATTCCCTATGCAAACACCACATATAATAGCTTTTGCATTTAACAATGACTCTGCTAATTACAATAAAAAAGAATTAAAAAGCATGTGAGAAACACGCTGCTGAGGTGGCTGAGTAGGATTGTACCTTCTCACAAAAATGGACCGACCATTAATGAGGTGGCTGTTTCAGATTCAGCCACCTAATGCATGATTCTAATGGAATACACATACATGCTCCATAAAATTACATAACTTATGAGACTGTACAGTGTGCACCAACACCTCCCCAAACAATAAAAAATGTCATTCCCCTCATCCCTTGCACCCCCAAAAACTGCCAATATAGCGTACTCGGTAGGCAGACAAAACATAATTCAAACAAACTTAGGAATGACTTCTACTTACACAAAGGCAAAAATGGAGGGGCAGGGAAAAGTGGAATAGATTTCCAGAAGTTGCAAAGAGAATGATTTGACAATGTTGAAAAACACTCCTTCCATTCCATAAAAAGTCTACGTTGTCCCCAAAACGCCCATTTTAAGCATCAGAAGCTATTTCATTAGACTTAAATAAATAAAAAGTACAACGACAACAACATTCAAGCCTTATTACCAAAAGATCCATGATATCAGAGCCAAAAAGAAAAGAAAGATAAGAAAAGAGAAACAATAAGGTGAGATAAAAAGAATAAGTTAAAGATAAAGATAAAGATAAATATAAGATAAAAGAACATAAGAAAGATTCAAAATAAAAATAACATAAGAACGTATGAAAGATACAACAACAATCAAGCTTAAAAATGATAAGATGAAGATAAATAAGAAAGATAAAAGATAAAAATAATATAAGAACATAAGAAAGATAAAGAAGATAAAAAGATAATAGAAAAGGAGGGGGGAAAGAGAGAAAAGAGATCAATCCTCCACACGGATATGTGCCCACTACTTTGCTCTCTCCAAAGCCAAGAAAAAGCATGTCAACTCTGATTCCTCTAATCCACGTCTGTTTGGGTCTTCCTCTCCCTCTTCTCCTCACCTCTCAACTCGTCTAACAAGTGCATCACTCATCCAAATGACCAATCCACCGCACTTAAATAAAAAACATGTAAGATATACAAATTCAATTATACCCAATAAAAAATTAAAAAATATAACAATATAACTAGGATGAGTGGTATCTAAGAGTTGTACTTTACCATATTAAAGAGTTGTACATAGATGAAACATGACTCTTTTTGGGACAGGCAATAATAGAACAATGAGAATGAATTTCCTTTTGCTATTTTGGTGGGCAATACAGCACACTATTGCATAAGCAGGAACTGATACTGTCCAACTAATGATGAAATACAAGGTGTGATCTGGCTACCCAAGTACATTCTACAAGACTACGATCAGTGATAGAGAGAGGATTATTGAAAGGCACAAGTATGAAACAACTTCTGAAATGTTCATGACACCTCACGGTGTCAGGTCTGTATGCACCCATTACAACCATGTATGAACCCCAATGTTATCTACCAAAATAACGTATATATCACATTTAGGGTCGTATTGTACAGCAATTGCTTAACTTAACTGTTATCAACCTGGTAACCACTAACAGGATAAGTACAAGAAATTGATTTTACACTAACTCTTTTTTGTGATAAAACTCTAGGGAAATGAAAATTGTGAAAAAAAATCCAAAAAGGGATGAATAAACATATGAAAAGTAAAAAATTACTACGTATAATAATGGACTTAATAGCTTACTCTTGTTTTTTATAGTGGTACAAAACCTTGGGCCTAATTCAGTGGCCAAGTGTATAAGCATTCCAGTTAAAGTCATGGGTTCAAAAGTCAAACCAGAGAAACAGCCTCTACGTGAAAAGGATAAAAAATAGTGTTTCACATAGTTTGTAAATTGCAGGTGTACTATGGATTACGTATGACCTTGAGAAAAATATTTAGTACTGAAAGTATAATTTATAAATATCATGGAGATACGCTCTTTGCTTTATTGGGCATTTATATGCTTCTGTTATGTGCCCCAAAAATTTACTCAGCAAACACCTTTTCAGGTTCACTTCCCTATCTGTCGGTACCCTATGTGGAGACCAAAAAATAGGTCAGGTGGAAAGAAGTGCAAGAGCACCCAGTAAGTCAGTAAGTTTCTTCCACGTGACCAAAAACACACTGTCATGGCAAATCTGCTCCAGGAGCATCACTGACTTATCTTCTATGGCCAATGAATTGATATTTACGTGTTACGTGAAAAGCATCCAAAATTTTAACTTCAGATGAAAAACAAAACAATTGATGAACAGCATATCAACCGCCAGCTAAGAATATCATACAAGCGAGCATGCTAATCCTTCTAAAGACCCTGCAATTATATGTCAATCCAAATGTATCAAAATTAGATCCACAATGACTACAAATATTAAGACAAGAAAATAGAACTTGCTGAAAAGATACAAACAGTTGTAAGCCTAGTAAAAAAAGGACCAATTTGATCGCTTCTCTAATCCCTGCTCGCATAGTCAACCAAGAAGCAGAAATTGCAATCCTTACAAACACATTGATTGAGCGAATTTCACAAGTAGAACAACAAATAAATGGATCTTTGGGCCATTGATCCCATCCTGTTTTGAATGTCCCAGGCTCCCAACATTCATAGGAACCTCCAACAAAAACTGATTAATAGCCACAAGCCCACAATCTAAATAAAGAATGAAAAGAAGGATGCATCTTACCCTTCGCTGACCAAGTTCATTGCCAAATTCACCAAAACTGATTGGGAAAACCCTAATTTCTCAAGAGTGCATGCAAGAGAACTATATGGGTGCTGTACGTTGAGCTCAAAATTTAAAGTTGTCAAGATCAATTGCTCAGCCTCTATAACCCGTTCGCGGTATTGCTCAAACCAGTCCTGTATAAGTTCAATCAACATATAAAGCTTGTTAGACACACAGCTAACTAGAAGTAATGGATGCAGATCCACATATGGAGAAAATGAGAGAAAGAAATAGGAAGTTAAGATACTAACAATGGGAAGTATATATGATAAATAAGAAAAGTCCTGCTTATGAAAGATCTCAGCTGCTGATCTCAGCACGGTGTTGAGAGAGCATGGCGTTTCTTCTGATTTGGCAGCCAAGAAGAGAGCAGCAGTGGACACCAACTGTTATTATAAAAAAAATATCAGCATTGTTAAAATGTGCAAATTGAATAATTATTTTAAACAGAAAAATTTTAGTGACTAGAAAAAGGATACATACAAATCTATCATGACTAGCATGAGACCTATGAACAAAGAATCGGTGACACAGAACCATGGCAGTCCCAATAGTGGTGTGTGGCCTACAAGCAATTCAAACCAAGATTAGTCACACAATAGTTGAAGCCGAACATAATATGATAATACAAAAGTGAGTTGACATCTAAATGTCAAATTTAAAATGAAAAAAAAAATCCACTTTTGGTTCCAAAAATATTCAGTAATTCACACCGTTGGCCTGTTTTTCTCTTTTGGTGCAGGATTGGATTGTTTTTGCCATTTTGGTCAAACCGCCCATTTATATAACCAATTTCCATACAATTCCGGGTAGATTTTCACCAGAAATGTGAACAGAATGGGCCAAAAGTGGCATGAATCCTTAATTGTGCACCAAAAGAGAAAAACAGGCCAACAGTGTTAATTACTGAATACTGGAAGAATGGAGCATATAGTGGAAGAATCGAAAATGGTATTTTCTTTTTTAAAATGATTAGTCTAGATGAAAACATATGGATGACAATTTGAGATCCTAAAGCATAAAAGAAAGCTCACAGTTCTAGTCGGGTTCCAAGCGTCTGCAGGAAAGCACAGTATGAATATCGTAATTGCATTTCATGCAAAGCATCAATACCATCTTTCCTGGACGGAGAGCACCTATCAATTTCCTCTCTGGACATAAACACCACCTCAATGTCACTGTCTTCAAATTCTGATCGGCTACGCTTGTGGGTATTAGATGCATACTCGTTAGAAGAAGGCTTGTCATTATAACTAGCATTGGAAAATGAAATCGTAGAACTCTTGTTGCAAATTGTGGTGGCAGTGTCATAAACACCCTGATTCCTTTGATGCACAATGCTATTTAGGAATGGTTGTCTCGATTGAAAATTATTATGTGCATGGTGTTGTTGCTGATGGTACCTCCCTCGTGAAGGAGATGAGCACTTAACTCGCTTAGAAGAAGGCTCAAACGCAGGTTTCACAGAGCTATCATTGTAATTGTAGCTATAATCTCTAATTTTTTCATTCAAGTTGCTTTGAAGAGCAAGATCTCCTTGATGTGGGAAGATGACACTGAAGTACTTTGTGGTGTTGAAGGAATCAGCAGCAAGTGAGGTGTTGTAGTCATTATGGTGATTTCTTCCATGTGACGATCTACATTGTGTGCGCAACGGATCACCTTTTGTTGAGTACATCCCAGAAAAATCCATTATGCCTATTCAATTGCAAAAACAAAAATAACTTAATTAATGAACATAACGGAATCTTCACCCTGCATAGTAGCTTTTCAAAAATATTTGACATTTGAAAGAACAAAATACAACCAAAACATATCCAAAAATGGACAGCTACCATTCAAGAAAGCAAAATTCAATTATTGTATTTTATGAAATATTAAAATAAGTAACGTGAGTATCAATCAAGCACTTCACGTGCTGATGACAGATTTACAATAATTCAAATTAACTTAAAGAAAATCAAACTATATACTTGTGCTTCCTCCATCCATATTTAATGTTTTTGTATTCTTTTTCGGGGTGTCCCTAGATAAAGTACTCTTTCTTTATTTGATAAAAAAATCTGTGGAAGTCAAAGTACGAACTTTATTCAGGCACGTAGGGAGTATGTATTAAAAACAGTTCCCTTAATCAATTTTTCAGCCAAAACTGACTGTACAAACAGTAGCATAAATTAGGGTAGGCTCTTCATGAAAGAACTTATGCCGATTGGTATAGTATTTGTCAAATGTTTATAATTTTGCTATAATTTTTTGTGTATCGTTGATTGCAATATAATGTACATAAGAGAGTTGTGCAGATAATTAGTTTTTTTTACCAGACAGATAATTAGTTAATACAACACTGCTATCTTAGACTGATGGCCCCTTTTTCCCCACAAAAAATCCATCATCTATGCAAAAAAAAAAAAATGACTGTAAACGTTCATAATTATAACAATAGGCTGGGGAAAAAGCAAATCTTTTTAGGTAAATAAACGTAGATAGTGTTGAATCCTATTGAAATACAAACTATAATGTAATAAATAACTCATATTTTCTAAATTGACAAATGATACAGATTATATATACATCTGATTCGGTTGTTATAAAATAAAAATACATTAAATCGCAAAAAAATAGCACTAACAAAGTAAATACCTATCTGAAACATGAAATAAGATCTGTAGAGCCGTGTTTTACACGTCTTCGAAAACATATGGATGATATAGGATCTCTGGAGTAGTATTCCAGAATTGAAATTTAAAACTATGGATCTAAATATTCTTTATAAATAAATACATCAAGATCGGGTTCCATACCTGGTGATTGAATCCAAGCCTGATATCGGTTTTAAGAATATTTGATAAGGTCGGTTGAAGGAACGAAGACAGGAGATGGATGCGCGGAGAATGGAAAAACAAATATGGCGGATGTGGAAGAAGAGCTAAAAATTTAAAGTTTGGACTTTGGACGACAAATGAATTCAAGAAGAGTCCTGCTTGGTTGGGTACCCCAATATTTGATCATGCGCCGTTTGATATTTCTACGGGTGAAGTCAGGTAAATTGTGGAAGAGGCGGTATAAAAAAAGGCAATTTTTTGTGTGCCAAAATGGTACACAAAAAGGTTTATATCTATGTTTAGGAAATTGGGGGAAATTGGACAGGGAAGCGACTCCGACTGCATGATTGGGTCACGGGTCAATCCAGTCAACGCTATAAAATCGTTCAACCATTTAACAATAATAAACATATAATTAACTAATGTTAACTAATATAATTAACAATAATACAAAATTAAAATAAAAGGTAGTTATTTTGTAATAATTAACTAATAATAATAACTAAACACTTAAAAGGTTAAAATAGTCTCATAATATTCCAAAATAACAGTTTCATCTTATTAAAATATACTCCGTATAATGATACTCCATATGTTTTTTATTGGACATTAATTATATAATTTGACATGATTTTTATTCTTAAACAAATAAGTAGTATAAAAATATATTGCATATTTTTTTTCTTTTTAGGATATTGAAAATTGCAATTTTATTGGTTAAGCATGCTTTTAATTTTTCTTAAATTGAAAAACAAACAAAACCGGGTTTTCCTGGTTTATCGGGTTTTTTGGGTCCGGGTTTGGTCCGGGTTTTGCCGGGTCGCCGGGTTTTTCCAATTTTTGACCATTTCCGGGTTTTTAGTGAACCGGACCAGGTTTTGGTCCGGGTCACCGGATTCCGGGTCGACCCGGTCAGGTTGGGTTGGTTTTTTAAACATAGGTTTATACTACACTTTTTTTAAAACACAAAATGATCTTAATTACACAAATGCTTTAATGGACGTAAACATCAAGAAAAAGAGATCCCATTAACAAACAAGGTAAATGTTTTCAATTTTACCAAATATTCATCACCGAAAAGATAATTGGTAGTTAATGATGTTTTTACTTGGATTAAAATTTTCTTATCAGATCTCATCTGGTCTAACCTGATAAATGTCTGATCTTTGTGTATTTTATAACTGTCTAAGTTTGATCTAATCAAATCTTATTTGTTATAGAAAATAGTCGAAATAAAAACATCCTAAGATCACAACCATAGGGGAAAAAAGGACACAACCATAGGGAAAAAAAGAACAATTCAACAAACATAAAAACGCATCATCATATTCCTCAACATCAATGGGTGGGGATCATTACTCCTGGAAATCTCCCTCGTCATCCTCAAACTCAGACTCTTCATCGACACTAAACATTTTTATCCATTTTCAATGGTTCTCTACCAATCAGTAACTTACTGACTTGTTGTTCGTCAAGTTCATCTATCGTGTTCACTACCCGTCCCAACTTTATGGGTGATTTTTTGTATTAATCGAGGCTAACCACCTATCAAAAAGCAGCCTCCACATGGTCAGCACTTGCAATTGGTGATGAATAATGATTTGGGCTGCCAGGGGCCGGCCCTGGTATAGGGGCAGCCTGAGCCGTTGCCCAGGGCCCACCAGGACAAGAGGACCCATAAATTTTATAGTAGTATAATATATATATATATATATATATATATACACACAAATGTTCCTGTCAGGTATACCTGACAGGAACCGCCGTCCGGCCTCCTCCTTTTGGGGGCCTTCCCGGTGGTATTTTTTGCTAAATTTTTTTGTGTATGTTCCTCATCAAGTCTAGTTCATCCATACCAAATTTCAGCAAAAAATTCAATCGGGAAGGTCGTCAAATGATTTTTTCAAGTTAACTGGTCCGGAAAATACATATTCCGGACCAGTTAACTTGCAAAAATCATTTTACGACCTTCCCGATTGAATTTTTTGCTGAAATTTGGTATGGATGAACTAGACTTGATGAGGAACATACACAAAAAATTTGAGCAAAAAATACCACCGGGAAGGCCCCCAAAAGGAGGAGGCCGGACGGCAGCTCCGGTCAGGTATACCTGACCGGAAGATTACTCTATATATATATATATATATATATATATATCTTACTATATATATTAAATGCCTAAGATGGTTAAGTGTTCCATTTCCGTTAAAACAGTTGGACGGCAAATCCCATTTAACGCTGCATCTTACTTTCTTCCGTTGAGCTCTCGTGTCGAACGCTTCTGTTGACAGGGAGCACCTTGGCGCTGTTCAAACGTGTGTGTGAGCTGCTCCCTTGCCATGAATATCTAAACACTTGTTTGGTCGTGCGCATAGGCTCCTTGGTTCTTTGGTTTTGCTCTCACGCTCTCTGCACTTGAGGAGTGTTTGACTTTGATGATTCGGAAGGAGAGTGAAAACTTGCCTTCATGCGATTACCTGAAGAGATTGAGGAATGGGAAGATGGATGTTGCCTCTAGAGATGAGGTTCTTGACTGGATTGCAAAGGTTTGTTTCTTTAACCCTCGATTCGATCTTAATAATGATCTCGTTCTCAAGATTCTTTTTTTGAACTTTGTTTACTGATCGAACATAATGATAAATTAATGCTCGATTAGTACGGTCTGTGTTAAGGCTGTTTTTTGGGCGACTTTGATAAAAGTTTCTTTTTCTTGTCTGGCTTTATGTGTATTTGTTTTTTGTTGTTGCTGCTAAACTGATTCGTTCACTTTTTTTTCCCTGCGGTGTGATTATTGATGTTTATAGTTAATCTAATTATGCATCTTATTATGATGGTGGTTTCGCTTAATAGGTTCACTCACATTTCAATTTTGGACCACTCTGTGCATATTTGGTTGTGAGTTACCTTGATAGGTTTCTGTCTGCATATGATTTTCCTGCAAGTATACTATTATTATTACTCAATGTCATTGAGCTTTAATGTGTCTCTGATCTATATAATTACTCTAAATGAATCACATTATAATGAACTTTTAACTTGTTATATAGGAGAGTAAGAGCTGGATGATGCAGCTTTTAGCTGTTGCTTGTTTGTCTATAGCAGCCAAAATGGCGGAAACTGATGTCCCCCTCTCTCTAGATTTACAGGTGAATATTTAAGGAAATTAACTAATTATACTTTCTAATAGTGGCCTAAATCAAGATTTTGTTGTTAAAATGTGATGGTTTTTGTTTTACTAGACTGGGGATAGCAAGTATGTGTTTGAAGGTAGAACCATTCAAAGAATGAAGCTTCTTGTGTTGACTACACTTAAATGGAGAATGCAGGCAGTCACTCCATTCTCATTTATGGATTACTACCTCACGAAGATAAACAGTGATCGAATTGCTTCATGTTCTTCCATTGTCAAATGCACAGAACTCATACTGAGCACACTTAAGGGTAAATTTGTTCAGATGTACATTTGTGACCTTGATTAATGCTTTATCATTTCCTAGACTAATATTTAGGTGTTCAAATTAATGACAGGGATTAACTTTATAGAATTCAAGCCATCTGAGATTGCAGCAGCTGCAGTGGCTATATCTGTTGCAGTAGAAACTGAGGTTGTAGACATTGAGAAAGCAATTTGTTCACTTACCCCCCAAATACATAAGGTAGAATATCTTATGGCTATGTTTGAAAGGGTGGAAAACTGTAGGGAAATGAGAGTAAAATCCTACTATTGTTTTGAAAAAAAAAGTTTTTCAAAGTTTTTCAAGGCGAAATCAAATTTTCTCTAACTTTTTAAAACTTTTTCTTTCATTTACATTAATGCTCATTATGCAATAGAGTTATACTACCTCCGTCCCAATTTGTTTTGCAAAGTCAACAATTTTTGGTCAACCAATAATAAAAGTCAACCCTCCGTATGGATAATTAATTCAATTTTTAATAATTAAAATTTACATATTCAAAAACTACATTAAAATCTCTTCAAAGTTGTAAACTCCAAATTAGAATATAATTAAAAATTTACATCCTAATTAAGTGAACAAAGTGAGACTGTTTGACTAAAAAAAGTCAAATTTGCAACTCTTTTTGGGATGGAGGTAGTATGAAAGAAATGTGCCTGGATAAGTGTCAAAGGTAATTGTTTTTAGTTCAAATGAAATATTATTATTACTATAGTTACTTCCCAATGTTTTCTATCCTTTTAAACTTCCACTTTATTTTCTTTACCTAGCATTTTCTCCAAACTTACCCAGGTGTTCTTTGTTATAGCATTATTATAACTTCAAGGGACTGTTAACTTGCGGCTTAATGGACTTAATTAATGAGAAAAGTGATTTAATCGTTAAACCATTAAGTCATGTTTACTTGTAACTAATTGAAAGTAGGACCTCTTTCATTCAAAAAACCAACTTATGTTAAAGCTTTAATATAGTACCCAATAATTTTAAATTGATTATTTTACTTAATTCGGACTGTTTTGTTGAGAACACAAAATAAATAGTCTACAAATATCACTTGATCCAAGTAGACATCTTAATATAGACGTACATAGTCCATATTGGATTTAATACAAAAAGTAAATTGCTCAATATGGTGAAATATTTAACCAACGCTTCAAATTTGTGTATAATAATCTTCAGGAGAGAGTGATGAGATGTGCGGAAGCAATGCAAGAATTTTCATCTCCTAGCGGTTTTCTAATGGTTCAAAGAACATCACATGTAAGTGTACCAAACAGTCCTATCGGTGTTCTAGAGGCCGCCTCCTGCTTGAGCTATTCAACTGCTGATGATTTGGGGGTTGGGTCATGTGAAGTTGAGTCCTCTCATGACAATCCGATTACAAAGAGGAGGAAGCTGGGAGATTGAAAAAAGAAACAACCTGCGAGTACAAAACAAATTGGATGGTTTCAATGATATGATCAAGAAGTGGTTTGTATGCTTATTAGCATTGAGGAGAAGCTGTCGGTTGTTATAAATGTTTTAAGACTTCTTGACAAATCTTTGAAGGTGATTTTTTTAGGAAAACATGATGATGATGATGATGAAGATGATCAGAACATAGTTGTTTTTTTGTTTGTTTTTTCTTTCCTATGAGTATTATTATGTTAGATATGTTTGGTGTTTATTTTTACATTGTGAGGTCATTTTTGTGGAAAAAATGCAGAAACAGAGAAAAAGAGGAAGGGGACTTTTTTAGGAGTTGTTACTTCCTAGTGGTGTTGTGGTTTACATAGCACTGTTTTGTGTATATAAATTGGGATTTGTGAAGGTTTCACAGTTAATCCAGTGAATTTAGAGGGGATGGCCTCTCTAAGATGGGGCTATGTGATATATAAAAAAGTTGACAACATTCGAGACCGCATCATAAATCAGGTATTTACATTTCTTTGTTAGATGTTACTCCGTACAATATAGCACTTTGTTTGTCGAGGTTTACGATGAGCGTGAAGGTTTTGTTTATATCATTCCACAGTGGATCTGTGAGTATTCTATACCTTCCGAGTCAAATTTCTTACTAATTTGGTAAAACAATTTAGGCTGCATTTGCTTTTTTATTCGCATTATGTGATGTAAACACCAAGCTTATTGATGCCAGACTCCAGTAAAAAATTTGGCTTTGTTCTATATTCTTTGAGGCTATGGAGGGAAGTTCAAATTTTCAGTTAAATGAGGTATGATGGTATGTGTTTTCTATTTATTCATTGTTCAAAGCTGCTTCAGTTAAAGTTTCAGTTAATTTTTTGCATCTCACTTTTGCTTCTTGCTCAGTGATGATTACTGGATTTGGATTGCCCAAGTCTGCTTCATGACAAGATCTTAAGGTTAATGGTCATTGCTGAATGTTGATGCTATAAATGCACATGAAGTGACTATACATATTCCGTCATATTATGTTTTGATATCCTATTCGATGAACCCACTTTTTTATGTCTGTCTTATAGGATCACATGCGTCGAGCTTTGGATGTTTGTTTCTCTCAAGTATTTCGTGAGGGAAGTGGTAAATGACTGGAAAAAAAAGTTGCGCCAGTAGCTATGTATTTGTTAAGTTTTAAACGGTTTTATCAGGAGAGCAACTTAACCACAGCCAAAAGTCTCAAGCTTTAAGTGGTTTTATCAGGAGAGCAAGTAATGCAATTACGAACTTTGCTCACAGGTTTGATTCTCCTTCAACCTAATGATCTTTCTTGGAATTTTGTATTTTTTTTAGTTTATGAGGTATTTTGTTTTGGTTTGTTAATTTGTTTTCAGTTCCTTGCTCATCCCTGTGTTAAAGCTTTCAGGCCTTTCGGAGATCCCGGGACAACCTTCTCCCTTCTAGCTACGTCGCTTCTAGACAAGATGTCGTATGTGGTATGTCCATGAGTTCAGTCCCATGAGTTCAGTCCCATGACTTGGAAATTTCTAATTTTTTTCCAGCTTTATTTGGTTCTTTGAGTTCATTAGTGTAGTTGACAACATTGAACTATTGTTTCCCTTTTTTCTTTCAGAATATATTTACAAACCTTTCTCACTTCTTTATTGTCCATCATTGGGCATCGTTCGTCGCGCAACGCGCGTCCAAGCTAGTATATATATATATATATATATATATATATATATATATATATATATATATATATATATATATAAGGGTCTTAGAGCTTTGTATATGCCTTGTGCGTGTCATAGTCTTAATCTTACCCTTAGTGATATGGCTCATTCTTGTGTTAAAGCTGTTTCATTTTTTGGGGTTGTTCAACGCATATATACATTATTTTCTAGTTCTCCAAAAAGATGGAAAATTTTACTTGATGTTGTCCCAAATTTGACTGTTAAATCTTTATCTAATACACGTTGGGAGAGTCGAATAAAAAGCGTTAAAGCTATTAGATTCCAAGCTCCACAAATTAGATTGGCTATGTTTGAGTTATCTCAATCTTGCGATGATGCAAAGACAAAAAGTGAAGCTGAAAGTTTGGTAAGTGCTTTTGAAAATTTTGAATTTTTACTTGGTATGGTTATTTGGTATGATGTTTTATTTGCGATTAATAAGTTAGCAAAAAGTTACAGTTTAAATCTATGTGCATTGATGCAACAATGAATCAAGTTGAAAGTATGGTGCATTTTTTTGAGAAATATAGAGTTGAAGGTTTTGCAGAGAGTATCAATATTGCCAAAACCATTGCATGTGAAATGGATGTGGAGCCTACATTTGTGACTAAAAGACGTATTATTAGGAAAAAACAGTTTGATGAAGGAGATAGTGAAGATTTGTTATTGTCTCAAGAAGAATCTTTTAGGGTGAATTACTTTTTATTTATTGTTGATATGGCTATTGCTTCATTAAATAATATATTTGAACAATTAAAATTGTTTGAAAGTATTTTTGGATTTCTGTACACTTCTGTGAAGTTGAAGTCACTGGATGCCATTGAGCTTAAAAATTGTTGTGTTAATTTTGTCAATACATTCTCTCATAATGATGTTGTGGATGTGGATTTAGATGATTTGTTTTCAGAATTAAAAGTCTTGCAGGTCACTTTGCCTAATGTATCAATGTCAGCAATTGAAATTCTAGAGTTTGTCAAAGCTGTGGATTGCTATCTGAATGTCTCAATTGCTTACCGAATTTTGTTGACCGCTCTGGTGACAGTCGCATCAGCTGAGAGGAGTTTTTCAAAGTTGAAACTATTGAAGACTTACTTGAGATCATCAATGTCACAAGAAAGGTTGAACGGCTTGGCGATTTTATGTATTGAGAAGGGCATGCTAGAATGAGCGTGTGCTCTAGAAGTTTGAACAATAAAGTTGCATTGATATATGATGTTAGTTAAATTTGGCTACTACTTTATTTTTTATGCTATAGAGTTTTTGTGACTTCTATCTTCATGTCCATAATTTATTTGGCAATTAAAAAATTATCTAATATCTCCCAAGTTAAGTCAACTTTGAGTTTGAATGCTTAAGTCAAGTTTCATATATTGTGTTAAGGCCCCCAATACAGATTTTATTAGAATTTCTTGGTCCATAGAAGATTTTAAACTCTTTTTAACATTGAACGGACTGATATGAAGTTAAGTCAACTTTGAGTTTGGATGCTTAAATCAAGTTTCATATAGTGTTAAGGCCCCCAATATAGATTTTATTAGAATTTCTTGGTTCGTATAAGATTTTAAACTCTTTTTAACATTAAATGGACTGATATGTGACCAAGACACAATTTTGTGCTTTTGATAAAGTCTAATATTATGTTTAAAAAAATAGAGCACTTCCAGGTCTCAGATATGTGAGTCCTTTATTTTTTTACCCATGCTTTATTTCAGTACTTGGACCATCGGTTCAAACTTGACACATTCATTGTTGATTTCGGAAAACATTATGTAAGCAAGGCGATTAGTTTTTGAGAGCTTATTATTTGTGAGAATTTTAGTAGATATAAAATTAAATCAAATGCATAACATTTGGGTAATATTTAGTTAACTTGTCCTTATTCATGCTTAACTAAAATCATTTCTTCAATCTTTCATTAAATCATTTAGAAACGATATGTTTTTTAATCATTTAAAACTTGTCCTTAATCATGCTTTAACTAAAATCGTTCCATCAATAGGAAATCATTTTGAAACAAACTGATTTTTTTAATTGAAGCTCTTGATTAAAGCTGTTGTTTTTAATAAG